TATATTCGAACGAAAGGACTTTTTCATATACATCGATGTTGAATTAGAAGTATTATTAATGCAGCATTCCAGAATCTAGATTTAAAATAATTAAAAATATTTCAGTTCTAAGCGACGGAAAGGTAACAATAGTTTTTTGTAATCGAACTTTTGTACTAACGTTTGTAATCGAACTTTTGTACTAACGTTTGTAATCGAACTTTTGTACTAAACTTGTACACTTTAACAACAGAGTGCATAGTACCAGTGGCAGTAATATCCTAATATTCTGCGTAGGATTAAGACATGAGACTCATTCACAGTATTATTGAACGTGAATGCACAGTATACTGTTTTGATATGTTAAACGACACGAGAAGAAAAAAAAACAATTTATACACGAATTATGTCGACGTATGTGTTCTTGTAATATCCAGATATGCTACCAACGAAAAAAGTGCTTAGGACCTAGCATTTCCTCTCGATAATGTTTCTGAGAATGGGAGCAAACGTGTTCGTATATTGTTTATTCTATGTAATGTAGGTAGACTTTTAATTTAGGTGTCGACTACATACCAGAGCTCAGATCGTGATATTCGAGAAATTGCAGAAGCAGTTATTGTACATGTGGTACAAGTGAAATGCATCAGTATAGTTTTTATTTGTCCTGTACATGCTAGCTAATTTTTGTATTTACTTCTTCGATCATTCGTTTCTTTGTTTCCTTATAAGTAAATTCATGATTATGCTATGTATTTTCAGGAGCCTCTTATATTGTTGAACGTTTCTCACATTCTTTTCATACGAATAGGGCCTCTTTAATAATGTATTATTTCTATGTAAATGCTTCTTCGGTGCTTCTTTTCACATATACCATCATACAAGTGTGATTGAAGTATTCTAAGTGTATGCTGATAGTATTTAGTTTTATTGAAATTAACCGGAGGTATTAAATAAGTTTAATACTTTTATAATGAAAGATTCTAATAACATACTAGTCATACTCGTCGCCGTTTTATATTTTTAACATTAATCTGGTCATCAAATTTAGTATCTACTATGCGTTTGTTTTTAAGAGAAACTAACTAACATTTTCATGGTACGACTGTTTTGTGATAGAAATAATGGGTACGGCTGGCCATACTGCTTAATGCATGGAATAATATTGTCAACGAATAAATTTAATAAAATTTCTAATGTCATCACTTGTACTAATGTTACCTCGCTGATCATTACTCTGTTCGCAAGTTCAGTATGGTTGATTCATTGTATGATTAATACAGACCTTTTGTAATTGTATTTTAATTTTTTCGCATAAAAGTGGAAAAGAACAAATATGTAAGGCGAATTATTTAATCATTCTCATTTCTTGTATTATATGAGTGTATTAAACGTTGTACTTACTTTTCATGATTCTTTATAGATATTGAATTATTGCATATTCTCTGTTATTAGATATAATCGTATACTGATCATTAAAATAGCAGGAAGAAAAGGGCGAATCAATTGCAAAATGATATTAACATAACAAATATATAATTCAGATGCTTTGTACTTTACAAATGTATTCCTTTCAGTTTATGTAAAATAACACATGCAATAATAAACTAATGTTAACAGAACCATGTTACAGTTTTTGGAAGAAGAATTAATTTGAAATAAACTTCCAACTAATAATGTAATTATTATTTATTCAAGCACACCCTAAGACCTACATGTATGTACATAAATGTTAATTAAAATTGATTAGTGTATGTGTAGTTGATTAATTAATAAATATCATTCATTTAAATCCCATCATAGCATGACTTTAAAATTGTAGAAAACTTTAAAACCATTTTGAAATGGCGGAGAATAGATTTGGCGAAAATTTAATGAACCTACAATGAAAAATGACCTGGAATGGTAGTGGGGGTTGCTTGAAAAAAAATAGCAATAAAATGGACCGACAGCTTGGTGGGGAGGCCTGACTTTGTCAGAAGAAACAAAAATCGAGCGAATCAGTTCTCTTATCAACCGTGTCGGGGAAACATACTTCCGTGACCGCTTTCGTGTCCGAACCGCTTCCGGTTATAATTAATCGAAAAGTTTTCAACCTCTATCATTCTGATTATTGAGAGTGTTTTTGATTTCCATGAATTAACCGAATGAAAAGTGATTCACTACGTGTACACCTCGTTCAAAAAGGTACAGTAAATAATTAGTATAATTAAATTGTTGCTTAAGCAAGTCACATGTTTCCGAACTGTTGTTACTTGTTGGTTAAAATTTTGCAAATATTTTAATAATAAAGCGCATGACGGTTGCACCATATTGCGAAACCTTTCATTGCACATGCATTAGATAGTCAAGAGATTAAAAAAATATATTAAACAAATTGTTTTCCGCGTGATTAAAAATTTGTTTCAGTAATTGATTTCATTCTTTTTTATAAATTACATCGGATTGATTTGTAATTTATATTGTTTCTTTTAAATCATTTATGTTCTTTTTTATTTCATAGTTAATTTTCGTCTATGGACTCTATGGCATTCTCAGCGAAAAAGTTTCCACCCTCTTTAATGGAAAATGCATTGTGCCTTGGGTATGCAACAGATTTGGTGATCGGTAAGTACCCGATTCGATTTTATATAATTCAGGAATTGTTATGTATCAAAGATATCGAATGGTTCGTTGAAATGAACCGCCTTTACTGAGCCCATATTCGAATGTAACAATTGACGGTTAGAATAATCATTTAGTCTATATAAATATATGTATCAGACATACCGATTGATGATTTTGCTTCTTGAAGGTACTTTCTTCGATTTCTACCAAATTATCACATAGAATACTTGATTGTTTTACGTTTATTTGTAATAAAAACTGTTATATCACAACGCGCACTTTCTCTTAGGCGTCCATTACTTAACTAACGGTCAGTTTCAAATATCTCGTTAAAGATTCAAATAATCGATATGGAAAACGTTCGATTTCATCCTCATCGATATTTGAATTTTGACAGCCATATTGGTGCGCATGTCCGGCAGTACATGTCAGAGTTAAGTCACGGTTTATTGTGATTGCGGTAATAGTGTTCTGTGTATTTAAAAATAAGTGTATATTTTGAAAATGTCCGTCTCAGCTGGAAGAAGAATTTTACCGCAATTTTGTAGAAGTCATTTGAAGAAGTTTCCGGCACAAACGGGGGTTGTTAAATTCAGTTCTACAGCAGAATCTACATCACCTAACCTAAATTGTAAGAATGTTCCAACTTCTGAACGAATTTCTGCTGCAGTATTAAAGGATTTTGATAGCCCACTTGTTATTGATCAGATTGAAATTCCTAAAATATCACAAGATAATGAAGTGAGTTTCAAAATTAGAAATTCAGTTAATAAAATCCTTTACACTACTCTTTCCATACATACTTCTCCATGAATTAGAATATTATTGTTACATAAAATCATGAATTATTATATTAATATAAAAATAGAATTTCTATGTAGTCTTACATGTTAAAGCAAAATACATTTTTCAATATACTTAATATTATTTTGTATAGGTTGTTATTGATGTTGCGTATTGTGCTTTAAATACCTGTGATATATTATTAGCAAAACAGTTATACACAGTTAAACCATGCTTGCCCATGGTACTCGGTCAAGAGTTAGTTGGCAAATTAGTGCAAGTTGGAAAAGATGCACAAGACTGTAATTACAATGTTGGAGATAAAGTAATTGCTCTTAATAAAGAATTATATGGAGGTTTAAGCGAACAGTGCATAGCAAAGTTTGACGTAAGCTAACATTATTGAATATATTATTTGTCTTCTACATTTGACTATAAGCAAATATTATAGGATATTTGGAAAATACCATCTGAATTTAAATCGATTGATGCAATTGGTTTACTAGATGATTATATTTGTGCCTTACTCGCAATAGAAAGTAAAATTAATCTGCAAGAAGGGGATATAATCATAATCAATGTCGGGATGAGCAGTATTGGCTTAGCAGCAGTTGATCTAGCAACAAATGTATATAAAGCCGAGGTTAGATTTAAAGCATTTAGGAAATGAGTATGTTAAATTAAAATGTATAGAAATACTAGAGCAATGGTGAATTTAGGTAATAGCAGTGTGTGCTACTGAAGAGGGAGCAGATTTAGCCAGAGGAAAGGGCAATGTTCTTGCGTCTTTCAAATACAAAGATAGTAAATTATTGAAGCAATTACAGGAATTAGCTACTGATAAAGGTATAGAGGCTATTTTCGCAGATCAGGAGGGTGAACATTTAAAAAACATCCTAGATTGGTAAGTTGATGGATGAGAATCAGTTTCCTCATAATTAGGATTCTCATGTGAGACTTTGATCAAGTAATGAACAGTAGCAGCAGATGTGTAATATTTTCAGTTTCACCAGTATTTATAAAAGTGGTGCGACAATGAAAGATTTGTTGAGAGATGACAGTTTTGCTGTGGTAGTGCACCATCTTTCTAGCAAAGGTACATGATTATGTTAAAATCAGTTTAAAATGTGGACTAACTTTTTCTATTCCTAATCTTCAACTTTAAGGGCGGGCAGTAATTGCTGGGTCGACAGCAGTGATGACAGAGTCTGATTCAAATCGTTTCAGTGTAGCAGGGTTTAATTTAAAAGAGTATAAGGAACTAAAACCAGATAAATATAGGTACAAAGTCTGTCAGCTTAGTAACTAAGATTTGTGTTGTTTAGAAATATCTTAATTTTTTTCATTTAATTAATTAGAGAAGCAGGAGAGGATGTTATACAATTTTTTGAGGATGGTCTTATTAAACCAACCTGTGCATTAACTGCTGGATTGTGTAATGTAAATGATGCAGTGGATCATATACTTAAGAGCAAATCACCAGGAAAAGTGAGTGAGGAATTTGTATGGTGTAAATGATCCAACAAAGGCAAACGATAATTGTTAAATTCACAGGTCATTATCGATGTTAAAAACAAAGACGCTAAAGTGGAAAAAGTGGAAAAGCAGTAATACTGGACAGGCTTATTAGTTCCTATTAAACAACGTGAACCTTTTTCTTTTGTTAAGATTTTCTATTAAATATATCCAATATTATATTGTACAGAATTTTTAATAAATCATCTTTTACTTACCTACAACAGAACTTTTATTATCCTGCGTCGTATCGATATTTTGGCTGAAAAAATATTGCCGAATGTTTGTTTCATTTTGTCAATTCCCAGATTATATTAATTTCTAGAAAAACATCGTAATTTCTATTCGGTCAGTTTCATTTTCAGAGCCAAATATTACACACAGAGCGATCCGGCGTTTTAAAGATCACAAAAAACCGAAGAAAAAGCTAAATATTGTCTGGTAAAGCGAGTATTCGTATTAATCAATTTTTCCCAGTGTTAGTAACCCGTTCTCTCGAAGGGCCGCGTGTTAGGCCGACGTCGAGACAACAGAAAATTGCACGCATACGATTGTTCCTAGGCAGCTAGTACACCGCCAACTCGGCCGCGGTCATTATCGGTTGCTCAATGCCCTTTTATCGAAACTAGAGCGTTTTGTTGCGGTGCTACCGAGCAGCGATCGAAACCCGAAGTAAAAGTCCTGAGAACGGTGGTCATTCGTCAATTATAAATATGTTCCTTTAATGGTAGCAAAGAATTTTGCATCGCCTCGGTTCGATCCGAGTGAGCAGGGAAAAGTAACCACGATTGCAGCAACGTGATCCATAAAATAACTAAATTGTCACATAAAATGACAGTGTACGCGCGTTATCGAATGAAAAAGATGAGATTTATTAGCGGCTAGCTCGAGTGTCCTTCCATTTCGATCTCTTTCCCAGCAGGACATCTGTCCATCGATTGCGAGACTCGGCAATCTCGATAATAAAAACGGATCCAACCAGCGTGGGTGCCATCGATTGGTCCAGCGACCTTGCTTAACTCCGCTGAAGGCGAAATAGTTGAAACGGACTCGCTATTCAGCCTGTTTATCCTTTCATCTGAATTTTTGCTCGCTTTATCTCGCGGCAATCGTTGCTCTTAGTTAGATCTAGCTCTCGATCCCATTGTTTCTGTCAGACCTTTAGTCTATCAGCGTTGAAGCGAAGTTTCGCGGCCACCTTGAAAATCTCTGTACCGTTCGGGAATGCTCCGCGCATTCCAGCCTCCGTTTCGCGAAGGCCAATTAGAACGCCTTCGTATCGTTAATCATACGGCCGGCTCGGGTTCAAGGTAGCACCCCCTGGGGTAATCGTGGGTGTGGTGCGGCGCGATTTCAAAATTCAATTGTCCAGTCCGACACGATACCGCGAGTCCTTATGTAAATGCTGCTTTCTCTATAAACCTTGCCACCGACGTGTCACCCGGTCAACGAGACAGAAAAATTACGGGCACCGGCCCGTTTGCGCGCGTTTTAACTGTGATTTATATCTCAAACAGCCTCCGGTTTCTTTCAACCGCTCCGTCATCGATTTAGGCGTTGCACGGATTTCTTTCACAACGCTCGCTTGATTTTTCCGGGCACGCGCCGTTAACGTTCAATATTCCCTTGCGATCCGCCATTTTGTTAACTGCGTTAAGCTCAATTCTCGACAAGCGTGGCTTCCGCAAAACATCCTTCCGCACCTCTGCCGAATGTACACTACAATATTTATATCATTAAATTCCTCTGCGTTTAATACAGATTACCAAAAGATAGATGAATTAGGCGAGAACTCATTGTTCACAAAATGGCGTCCAGTTTTCGTATTAGCTCAGAACCACGTCCTAACGCTAGAACAAACAGACGAATCATTTGATTTTTCGAACGGTTTACCTTTGTTTAACAACTTCTCACTAAAGTGTCTTTATATTTTTAACAATTGCGATTGAAGAAATTCGAAATGGACGATTTCTAGTCGTGAGGTAGATCTACGGTTTCCAAGGAACGCGAGTTGTAGCCGCGGAATTAATCGGAGAAAATGTCCCTCGTATTACGGTCTGGCCGGGGCGCATTAACCGTACGTAGAGAGATACGCGATCTTTCAATTAACCGCCGTTGGAAAGAGGAATTACGGGACGATCTGCTTGCCAGATGTCGGAGGTGGAGAGAAAATAAAGGTTCCCGGATCGAAAGGACAGGTTACATAATATGCATCGGGCCTCGGCAAAAAGTCACGGTTTCACGGGGACTTTCGCGTCGGACACGCTCCGGAACTCCTCTTCGCTCCTCATAATTTCGTTATTCTCGTGGAACGCGTCCGGTGACACGTATACAATCCCGCCGATTTCGGCGTGCCCGCTCCTCCGTCGCTCCATGGCCAGGGAATTCCGTTATCCGCGGCGGATCGGCGGGGAACGCGGAGGAATGTCGAAATCGCGCCGAAAACGGCACCGCGAGTGCGATTCCTGACGTAATTCTGGTCCGTGATTGACAAAGAGGGCGTCCGACCCGACGGAGAGATCGATAAATCCATTTCTCTTTCGCGGGGGGAGAATGTTACGAGACGTTTTACTTAATCCTGTAACGCCTGGATGATCCTCATCCTCTTCGCGACGGATTTCGACGCGTAGCGAATCGTGATCTGTCTCATTTTTACCAGATTTTCGCCTTCGCGAGATCTTAATCTGAATCTACAGAGTTAGTACAGGATAAATAGTGTTCTTCCGTATTTTATGAACAAAAGAAATGTTGAAGGTATCAAAGATTAGTTTGATGTCCCCAAAGATACCCCCAAAATGTCACCAAAGCAGCATTGTTTTAAACATTTTCTTCACAAAATTGGTTACTTACCTTCAAAATCAACTCTAATAACTAGCCCAAGTCGTATTTGAATACCTTCAATAAGTTTTCTTCGCGAAATATTGAATTATCTCTGGGCTCCATCAATATTGTCCAAATAGCAGACCAATATGTTTCTTCTTCAATTGCGCTTTGTCACGCAACGGAACGAAGAGAATGACTGAATTAGCGAACGATCGTCGGACAATCCTTCGGACGATCGCGAGATCGATCACAGATCTTGCAAAACAGGAACGAGATCCGCTAGATCGTAGAAACAGAGGCAAGGTACCACGCGAGACCGAGTGGGAGAGCCTTACGACAGTCACATATCCGCGTGGCACTTACACGGCATTTGTCGCTCTGTCCGCAAGAACGATAAAAGGAAATGGCCTCTGGTGGCTGCGTATCTGTACAATCACTCTTGAGAGCACGGTTCACCTAGATATGCTAATATGATTAGAAAAGAGCAAGGGACATTTACAAGGCTTTTCTTTCGGCCGGACCGATAAATTGCTCGCTATCAGGCCACACGCGAGCGCAACGCGGCTCTCCGTCGCCGCGCAATAATTTTGCCCCCGTCGAAATTAACGAGATATTAACGAGATTACTTTCATATTCGCGACACCGTTGATCTACAACGCGAATCCATTAATATTACAAGCTTGTACCATTCTTGTGCAAGAGCCTCCGGACACTCAAGACGACCGTTCGTTACGATTCTTTTACGAGTAACGCGATACTTCAGGCTCGAAGCACAATGCGGAGACCTCGACAGACGTTCTCCTAAAACACATTTTTAATTCACTCTCCCCGGTGGAAACAAAATGTTGCCGCGCGTTGATGCAACGACGTGACCTAAGTTGGTGACATTTTACAATTTCTCGACCGAAATTGTGCGAAAGTTCAACCGCTTTGCGTAATATGGTCGCTCTAAATGTAAATTATGTTAATTTCGTATTCGTCGTTGGTAAAGGTAACAGGGGGACGTAAAGGTAATTAACCAGTTAACTGCGTTTGACGAGTATGCACATCCTCAAGTTTGAAATGTTACTAACTCTTTCAACGATGAATTCTTTATTTCTTCAGAGAACGTGTAATTCTTCCTCGTTTTACTTTGGGTTTTTATTAAAACCCGCGTTTGACAAGTACACGTTCATTTTTCGATTCCATTGCTCGCGAAACGAGGGATTTTTCAAACTAAAGTCCACAGTTAATTGGTTAATTGCACACGGTAGGATTGCGTCTAGTTTCTTCCGTGAGAAGTGAAATTTACCGCGATAAAGTGTTTCTTTAGTTGCTCCAATTAAGATCTTTATCGAATTAAGATCCGACCGATCGATGCGGAGTGTCAGTAACTGTAAGTCGTTCGATTGATTCGTCCGAAGTCTCGAAATCTCGTCGACGATTGATTAATGATCGTCGACGGGACCAGGCGAAAGCGTTATCATCTCGCAACGCTCGGGGGAGTAATGCGCTGTCCGAGGGTCGGTCCACGCGCGCGCTGCGACTGACTGGCACAACAATACGAGGCGAGCCCGCATAACATTAACACCGGTCTGTCGTAACTTTATTATCGGCCGTTGTTGACTGTTTCCGTAACTACGGGCCATTGAAAACCGATCGTAATTACCGGCGGCCGTTCGGTGTTCCCGGCCGAACCTTCCAGTTTCGACGAGGAATTAATTTCGCCCGTTTTATGGAGAGCCGGGTAATGGCACCGGCCATTTTACAATTTTTGCAATTTAAAAACGTCGAACGGCCGCGCGAAGAACCCCGGGATTTTTGCGTTGTTTGCCGCCCGGATTTCTGCGGCAATTACGGGTATTAATTGCGGGGATTAAGCGAAGGCGGGTAATTGTGTACTAAAGAATAGATAATTAGAGAATTGTTTTGCAATTATTAGAATGCTGATGTTTTGAGCGATTGAGATATTCGATTGAATTTAATTTTAGTGGTAGTCTCTTGAATTTCCGAATGTTGAGAGTAATGCGAGAACATTATTACTAGTTAATTAGATTATTCATTTATTAGATTATTTATTCCTGCTTTCTATTTGATATTTTGATGTTAATAAAAACACTGCTAGATGTCTATATTCCATTGAATTCAATTTTAATATCAATTTTTCATATCTTCAAATATCGAAAATGGCAGAATAGTCGAAAATTTATAACGTTCGGGATAGCTCACCACTTTTCGAGTGTTCCAAGAATAAATAAATTTGTAGGACATTGTTCTTCATACATTCAGCTATCTCAAACAGCAACAATCTTTTCGGTTTAGGTAAAATGTTTAAAACGGACTTTTGGCCGTCCAGATCGAGCGAATGGCCCACTGCGCGACGCCGCAATTAAGCGCAATTAAG